GAAACTGCCCTAGAATAGAAACCATATGGGAGTTTCCGAAAATTAGGGTATCCTATTTGGGGGGTCCTTATAATAAGGATCCTACTATTTTGGGTACTATATTAGGGTCCCCTATTTTCTGAAACCCCCATATAGTACGGCACTCTTATAAACAGGACCCCAAAAGGGACCCGAACTTAGAAAGCTACCCGAAACAGAGGTGAGATCACCTTCGAGTTCATGCGCATCTCCCACCATACCCACCTCTCCGGCGTCGCCATTGCAAAAGTGGGGCAGCCTCCGGTTATCGCCAAGCCGGCGGATCCACCATCGCAGGGCATGTATGCCTGGTTCAAGTGCCCTGCCTGGGCTTTAGGCTTTTACTTACTTCGAGGATCATGGGACTTAGTAAATACGGTTACCAGGCACTTAATTGTGGTTATAAATATTGTTACCCTATTTATAGCCCTACTTACTATGTCCCATGATTCTTTAAGTAGAGGAGAGAAACCCAAACCCCAAACCAGAGGAGTTGAGCTAGCGTGTTGATGTTGCAGCGCCCGGCGCCAACTTGTTAGGTTTGGGGCTCAGGGGAGCACTGATTTCATCTTAGGGTTTAGGGCCTACACCTCATGCACAAGCCTAGATACTTCGGAACATACTGGTGCTGATACACCCTGAGGATGATCAGTTTCTTGTCTTGCCTTCTGTTTGGAGCATGTGTGCCCATGTGGTTGTAAAATGTGTCACCAGGCATGCACACTCTAAACCATCACGGGCCGAATGTTGATTCGCAAAATCCTGCAGTGTCCATCATACTGAATGTACTTTGCCATCAATCCAATAGCTTAGGGTGCTTAAGGCAATGCAGGATTGTGTCCATCAAGCACCCTTCGACCGGACAGTGCGAAATCCGACCACGCCGGACACCGCTCGCGCGATCGCATGCCCGGTTTAGGGTTTAGGGTTTAGGGTTTAGGGTTTAGGGTTTAGGGCCGCAAGCTCGCCCGCCCGCTGCTTTGCTGCTATTGCATGGGGGGAACGCAACTGGGAACACAGCACGCGACTCTTGCAGCACAGGGATTCAAGGCAGGGCACTTGGAGGATCATGGGACTTAGTAAGTAAGGTTATAAGTCCCTTAATTGGGGTTATAAGTATAGTTACCCTAATTATAACCCTACTTACTATGTCCCATGATCCTTTAAGCAATCGCGTGTTTATTCTCCGGGGTGCGGGAGTGTGGGGATAAACGGTTATATTTACTCGGCTGACAGAAATGATACGTTTATGCTAACCGCAGCTATCAGGGAAGATAATATCCTAATATCCATCACAGGAGTGAGAACGCTGGATCCGTATGGCGCAGCTCTGTGGGAGACTTTGAGGGCCATTGCAACAGAAACTTGGTTCCTGTTCAGGCACCTGATTCAAGCTGACAGTATTGAGATACATCGTAAGTAGTATGCTGCCCTGATAACCTCAAATTGAGCACCTCTGCCGGAACCCAGTGGGCAGCGTCTTCCGGCGAGTGGCAGCGGGCAATGGAGCCGATCGCCCCGTTACCTTCATCGAAGGCTACACATGGTCACTGAGCTGCTTTGAGTCCTGTTGTCACTGTCGAACTTCGTGTTGTTTTGAGTTGAGTTCTTTGAGTGTAGGTGTAGGCTGTGCTTGCGGGAACTTCAGAAAATAATGAGGTCAGGCTACGACTTCGGAAACGTGATTCCCCCGACCCACACAGTCTGCGCCGTCACTCGGTACAGCGGTCCGCACAAGGGGCGCATATTGCAGTCCAGATCTCAAAACAATTGGCTGCATGGCCACTGGGCTCGTCAAGCCGGTGTTGCGTACTACAATGGTTGGCTCACTTCTGATTCAAGAACTTTAGATGTTGAAGATTGGGTTGTGCTGTGCGGCACCAACGGTGCACAACGAGCATTCGATGGCTTTTCGTCCGGCACCCCGGCCAACATTGCAGCGCACAACCCGCACCCACCGGTGAAGTTCACGGAGACTATACCTCTGTACATCAACCATGGCTGGGATGAAAAGTCTGAGTTTCACGTCATGGAGGTGATCACCTGGGACAGGGTGTTGTCGGAGGCTGAGATGGTGGCCACGGTCGACTACTTGAAGTGGAAGCTGAGGGCAGGTGCCGTGCTCGAGGCGTCGGAACATCTTGCCCCGGAGACCGAAAAGAATTTTGACTCCTGGGGCAATCAACATTTGGACGATGTGAGTCACCAAACTTTCGAAGTGGACCTGGCTAACGGTTACAAAGCAGACTTGACAGGGTGGCCACATACAAGAGATTACGCGCGCGGCTTTCTCACAAACAAACACGGGGTATCCACTGCAGTCGTGAAGGGTCTGACGCCAGCGGCACAGTACCTCTACCAGATCTACATGGTCCATGAGAGAACCGATTGGGCAGGTGAGGCCAAGGTGTCCGTGAACCATGGTGTGCAGGGAACGTGCCGTGCGAATAGCCTCAACGAAGCCATGTTCTCTGGGGTGGCAGTGGCTTCGCCTCGAGGCCAGATCCTACAGCCCTAAACCCTAAACCCTAAACCCAAAACCCCAAACCCACAACCCCTAAACCCAAACCCTAAACCCCTAAACCCTAAACCCGAAACCCCTAAGCCCTAAATAACCCTAAAGATCCTAAGCCCGGAACCCTGGACCCTCCACCCACTGAAATCCCTGTGCTGCAAAAAAGAGGTGAGATCAACTTCGAGTTCGAGCGCGTCTCCGTGCATCTCGACCTCTCCGGCATCGCCATTGCGAAACTGGGCTTTGGAGTACCATACTTTATTACTGTTTTTGGGGACCTGTTCCTTAAAGGAACCATTATGAAATACAAGTCTATATTTTCCTCAAAGGAACCATTATGAACAAAGTCTATACTTAGCCATTATGAACTTTTTTTCTCCCTGGTTACTTCAAAACCCAGGAAAGTGAGCTCGCCAGCCAGTTTGCTTCAGGAGGCAGCTGGTGATTCATGGGTTTAGGGTTTAGGGT